TCCGTCTCAAAATATATATATATATGTATATGTATATATATATATATATATATATATATAAATACTTTCTGTAATAAAACATGCTTTTATGCTTAAACCATTTTTTAAATATAAGCAACCTAGAAATCAATAAATGACTTAAATGTGTCTTTAAAAACAGAAATAGCAGCCAGGTACAGGTGGTTCGTGGGAGGCTGAGGCAGGAGGATCACTTGAGCTCAGGAGGTCAAGACCAGCCTGAGCAAGACCCCATCTCTACTAAAAATAGAAAAACTAGGACGGTACCTGTGGCTCAAAGGGGTACGGCACCGACCCCATATGCTGAAGGTGGTGGGTTCAAACCCAGCCCCTGCCATGAACTGCAAAAAATAAAAAAAATTAAAAAAAAATAGAAAAACTATCTGGGTGTTGTGGTGGGTGCCTGTAGTCCAGCTACTTGGGACTCAGGAGTTTGAGGTGGTTGTGAGCTATGATGATGCCACAGCACTCTACCCAGAATGACAGAGTGAGATACAGTCTCAAAAAAACAAACAACAACAACAACAACAACAAAAACAGAATAGCCATGTGAAACTTTTTTTTTTTTAATTGAGACTGAGTCTCACTCTGTCACCCTGGGTAGAATGTCATGATGTCATAGCTCACAACAACCTCAAACTCTTGGGCTCAAGAGATCCTCTTGCCTCAGCCTCCCAAGTAGCTAGGACTACAGGCACCCACTACAACACCCAGCTAGTTTTTCTATTTTTCAGTAGAGGCGGGGTCTTGCTCTTGGTCAGAGTGGTCTTGAACTCCTGAGCTCAAGAGATCCACCCGCCTCAGCCTCTCAGAGGGTTGGGATTACAGACTTGAGCCACCGTGCCCAGCCTGAAACATATTATTAAATATATTTTCAAGAAATACATAAGACACAACTAGAAAAACAGCTACAAGAGTTAAAAGTGTTGCCTCTGGGCTCGACGCCTATAGCTCAACCGGCTAAGGCGCCAGCCACGTACACTTAAGGTGGCGGGTTGGAATCCCCAGCCCGGACCCGCCAGACAACAATGACGGCTGCAACCAAAAAATGGCCGTGCGTTGTGGCGGGTGCCTGTGGTCCCAGCTACTTGGGAGGCGGAGGCAGGAGACTCGCTTGAGCCCAGGAGTTGGAGGTTGCTGTG